TCGTATGGTGTCATCTTGATGGACGCCTGATAATTGTTGTTATAGGCGAGCTCCACCAATGGCATCGAATCTTCCCACGAGGTACCTCTATCTAAAACACATGCTCTCAACATGTCCTCGAGTGTCTGAATCGTTCTCTCGGACTGCCCGTCTGACTCGGGATGGTAAGCGATGCTGAAATGAAGTCTCGTGCCCATAGCTCTGTGCAGACAAATCCAAAACCGTGCAGTAAACCGCGTGTCTCGGTCTGATACGATGGACACGGGTACTCAATGGAGTCGGACTATCTCTCGGATATATAGCTTGGCATACTCCTTCAATTTCATAGTCGTCTTCACTGGCAAAAAGTCTGCGGTCTTAGTCAGACGATCCACGATAACCCAGATGGAATCATTCCCACTCCTTGTCCTCGGAAGACCAACGACAAAGTCCATCGTGACTTTCTCCCATTTCCACTCGGGAATCTCGAGTGGATGAGTCAAACCCGACGGCCTTTGATGTTCGGCCTTGACTCTCTGACACAGCAAGCAGTGATCGACGAATCTCGCTACATCTCTCTTGAGACCCCTCCACCAGAAAGACCTTTTCAGGTCTTGGTACATCTTCGTACTCCCTGGATGAATAGAGTACGGGGTGTTATGGGCCTCCTCTAAGATCTCTCTACGGATAGCTGGCACTCTTGGAACACAAAGTCGCTGCTCGAAGACTAAGGCTCCATCAGGTGCTACCGCAAAACCTCTGATCCGGCCAGCCTGAGATAGCTCTCTCATCCGGCACAAATATTTATCCTTTGGCTGTTCTGACACGATCCTCTCTCGAAGGGTCGGTGTCACAACCAAGGATGCTAGAACTCCACTGACTCTCGGGAACTGCTCCACCGAGTCTAACTCGAGTCTACTGAACTCTCTGATCAACTCCTCTTGTTTGGTAAGCATACAAGCCAGTCCACCAGGACCCTTCCGACTCAAAGCATCGGCCACCACATTAGCCTTACCTGGGTGATAGCTAATGGTGCAGTCGTAGTCCTTGACTAACTCGAGCCATCGCCTTTGCCTCATGTTGAGCTCCTTCTGCGTGAAAATGTACTTCAGGCTCTTATGATCAGTGAAAATCTCGCACTTTCCTCCGTAGAGATAGTGCCGCCAGATCTTCAATGCATGAACTACTGCTGCAAGCTCCAAATCATGTGTCGGGTAGTTCTGCTCGTGAGGCTTCAGCTGCCTCGAAGCATAAGCTATTACTTTCCCCTGCTGCATCAACACACAACCCAATCCTTGTTTGGAAGCATCACTATAGATGGTGAAGTCCAAGGTAGGGTCGGGAATGGTCAACACAGGTGCGGTGGTCAACTTAGCTCTCAACTCTTTAAATCTCTGTTCGCACCGGGAAGTCCACACGAACTTGGTCTCCTTCTTTGTCAACTGTGTCAATGGTTGGGCTATTCTCGAGAAGCCCTCAATAAACCTCCGATAGTAACCAGCAAGACCCAAGAAACTTCGAATCTCACCGGCATTCTTCGGAGTATTCCAGTTGCTTACTGCCTCTATCTTGCTGGGGTCCACCTCGATTCCCTTGGCGGTAACAATGTGACCAAGGAAGGCGACTCGGTCCAGCCAAAATTCACACTTGGAAAATTTCGCATATAGCTTCTCTTTGCGAAGGGTCTCTAGCACGATCCTCAAATGCTCGGCGAGCTGGTCGGCGTCTCTCGAGTAAACCAGGATGTCGTCGATGAAAACGATAACAAACCGGTCTCAGTATGGATGGAAGACCCGATTAATCAAGTCCATAAATACCGCCGGTGCATTACTCAACCCGAACGGCATCACTACGAACTCATAGTTACCATACCTCGTTCTGAACGCCGTCTTTGATACGTCTGCCTCCTTGATTTTCAACTGATGGTAGCCCGATCGTAAATCAATCTTCGAAAATACGCTCTCTCCCCTCAACTGGTCAAAGAGGTCCTCTATTCTCGGAAGAGGATACTTGTTCTTCACGGTCAACCGGTTCAGCTCTCGATAATCGATGCACATTCTCAACGTGCCATCCTTCTTCTTCACGAAAAGTACAGGTGCACCCCATGGCGAGACGCTCGGTCAGATGAATCCGAGATTGAGCAACTCCTGAATCTGGGTTTTGAGCTCTTGCAGCTCCTTCGGTGCCATCCTGTATGGTGCTTTGGACACTGGTCCGGCTCCGGGGATCAGGTCAATAGTGAATTCCACTTGTCTATTCGGTGGCCCTCCTGGAAGCTCATCTGGAAAAACATCGCGGTATTCACAAACGGTCGGCACTGAATCAGGAGACGGCTCCTCCTTCTGGCTCCCGACGGCACTAACTAAATAGCCCTGACATCCCTTCTTTCGAAGATTCTTCATTGTCTTCATGCTAGATACAACTCTGGGTACAGTCCTAGTCTGGGCTCCGAAAAACACGATCTGATCACCTCTTGGCAATTGCAATGTCACCTCTCGCTGGTGGCAGCTGATGTCGGCGCGGTACTTTGTCAACCAGTCCATCCCCAGAATAATGTCAAAGTCCTTCATGTTGATGACGTAGGTGTCGGCCTCCAGATCTCGTCCACCGATGTTGATCTTCAATCCCTGCACTATAGAATTCGTAACAATCGTCTTCCCCGAGGCTAGGCTAACCTCTAGGGCATCGACTGCACTCACACCTTGGACTTCGATGGCCTCCAGACAGCTCGATGAAATAAAGAAATGTGTTGCTCCGGTATCAAACAATGCGAATACAGGTATACCATGCACAGAAAGCATTCCAGACATAGTACCTTGATTATTTGCGGCCTCATTTTGGGTCAATGCGAACACCCTGGCTCTCCCTCCTGGTCCTGGCTGCTGCTGCTGATCTCAACCGTGCTCGAGGCAATTTTGAGCCATGTGCCCCGGCCTCTTGCACCTGAAGCAGATGTTCTTGCCAGCTAAGCACTCTCCCCTGTGTCCTTTGCCGCAGGGAGCACACGGTGGACGGTCGGCTTGTACCTGCTGGATTGGTTGGGCTGCCTGGGGTGGTCTATTGTCTTGCCTATTTTTCTTGCCCTTCCCTTTGCGATCATCATTCCACTTTCTCTTCCCGGCATTGTTTGATGGCTGGGCTATGTCAGCGGGCCGAACGGGGAGTGACTGTGACCCCATCTGCTGGCACATCTCGAGTCGCTGGGCCCTCTCAATCGTCTCGGCATAGGTCAGATATCCGTGGCCGACTATTAGCATGAGGAGGTCTCGTTTAAGGCCATAC